TGTAGGGGGAGGGTACTCGAGTTACGATCAGTTGTTACGGAATTTACTAGACAGGAAGTCCGAGAGCTCTACACATATCAGCCCGACTGACCCATAGAAACTCGTTAACTCCTCATCTTCACCCGCTCTCATCCCCCACCTCAATCCAGCCTTCACTATCCAATCCAATCGGTGTGTATCTATGTGCCACACATACACTGATAACGAGAAGTGAGACTTCCGATAGCAGTCAACGAGATCATCTCGTCGCGATTCATCACTCGACTGTTGGAAAGAAGAAATAAAAAATATCCCCGTCTCAACCCAAGATCGCCGTCCTCATTGAGTCGTGATTATAAAATTGCTGATTACTCCTGATTAATGGGCATGAGAAATATTCACACCGACCTAGAAATTACCGACGAATTGATCCTCGCGGTGATAATCATTTCCAAATAATTCACTCGGGATTTAAATAAGCTAGGAGTATTCCTAACGCTCTAAAATTATCGGACAATTGATTGAATTCGATGAATTGAATCGGCAAGCCATCGGTAGCTTCGGTGGAATTTGAAAGTCAAAAAAAAAAATAAAATTGGCGGGCAAAATTGGAAAAATCGAGAAGTTTGAAAAGCTCGAGGGGTAAAGGATAAAGAAAGAAAACAACCGGGCAAACCGCCAAAAATATCCTGTGACCTTTTCACTCATCCACCCCCCAGATGAGGTCTGACGAGAAGGCGACGGTCGATTTGTCCGAAATTCATTACAACTTCTTGCCCCATTCGCCTCGCACGTCTTCAATCCTCATCGTGTTTTTGTCAATGTTTTTTTTTCCCCGTCATTACGAATAATTTCAATCGAGGTCTCACCAGGCTACCATTAATAACAATTATCCCCTTCTCCGGAGTGCACCGGAGGACCGACGGAGAAGGGAAATAGCGTGACAGCATAATTAATCACTCGGAAGTAATTTCAGTGTGAAACACGTCTTATTACAACTGATAGGCCGATAAAAGAAAAGTGCGAGAAGATGGAAGGGGGATGAGAGAGAAAAAAAAAA